ACCTGTATTATCCGTCTGTATATAACACTACCACCTGTATTATCCGTCTGTAAATAACACTACCACCTGTATTATCCGTCTCTATATAACACTACCACCTGTATTATCCGTCTGTAAATAACACTACCACCTGTATTATCCGTCTGTAAATAACACTACCACCTGTATTATCCGTCTCTATATAACACTACCACCTGTATTATCCGTATCTACACTACCACCTGTATTATCCGTCTGTAAATAACACTACCACCTGTATTATCCGTCTGTAAATAACACTACCACCTGTATTATCCGTCTGTAAATAACACTACCACCTGTATTATCCGTATCTATATAACACTATCACCTGTATTATCCGTCTCTATATAACACTACCACCTGTATTATCCGTCTCTATATAACACTACCACCTGTATTATCCGTCTCTAAATAACACTACCACCTGTATTATCCGTCTCTATATAACACTACCACCTGTATTATCCGTCTGTAAATAACACTACCACCTGTATTATCCGTCTCTATATAACACTACCACCTGTATTATCCGTCTCTATATAACACTACCACCTGTACACCTGTATTATCCGTCTCTATATAACACTACCACCTGTATTATCCGTCTCTATATAACACTACCACCTGTATTATCCGTCTCTATATAACACTACCACCTGTATTATCCGTCTCTATATAACACTACCACCTGTATTATCCGTCTCTAAATAACACTACCACCTGTATTATCCGTCTGTAAATAACACTACCACCTGTATTATCCGTCTGTATGTAACACTACCACCTGTATTATCCGTCTCTATATAACACTACCACCTGTATTATCCGTCTCTAAATAACACTACCACCTGTATTATCCGTCTCTATATAACACTACCACCTGTATTATCCGTCTCTATATAACACTACCATTTGTATAATATTTCTGTATGTTACACTATGTACTATCAATTTCTATCCATGAAATTTTAGGGAAAATGAAAGCTATCGTATACATAATACTGTATTTGATTGTTTCAGAAATTAATTACAGGATAGATATTGCTTAATCGATTCTATTTCTTACCTAGAAGTCTAAGATGTACTTGTCTGCGGTCTTGTTCCGGAGCACAAAGCTGGATATATAGGATAAATTCTCGGTGCTGGCGTCCTTGAAAGAGAGACTGGTTGAGTGTTTCTTATAAACACTGGACACTTTATCGAAGTGTAGGAGTTTTATAACTATTGAATTCTGTTTAAATCTGAAACATTTCTATTTTTTACCGAAATTATTGCTCGGTAAGGATGCTTTCATAGGATTTCACCTATCCCTTTTGATATAGTATCTAGACATGAAATAGAAAACAAAAACACAATTCGAGTATAAACATTATATTCTGCCGCAACAATGTAACAAATCCTGTATTTATCTCTATTCGAGATACGAATGTCTTACTTGTAATAACAGTTTCACAACGCGGCACATTTCATAGCCAAGGCTGTTTAAAAATAGCAATACACAATTCGTTGTAACGGGTTACAATATCAAATAATATATGTAAAACAATGAATAATCGTTAAAATACAAACATGATTTTGAGCAAATTGTTAAGTAATGGGAAAAAAGAATTAAGTAACCATTTAATCTTACACCCAGTGTGAAATGTTTTCCTAGCGAATTAATTAATTATTCCTCCAAATGGTAGTGAACACGTGCAGTGGAACCCATTTACACTTTTCATATTTGATTCCTATCTATATATCATAAGGCCATTTGGTGCGAAACGAATAATAATAATTCGATTTCAATTTCTATTCAACTAAATGGAATTGTATCTAACGCAAGATAATTGTAGCAATACTATTGCTCCCGAAATAAGACTGCACAATTTACATCAATTGTCTTTATGGCGAAATATGATTCGCCAAACACTTCCGATAGCTAAACACCCCAATAAATGATGCGTGAATTATTGCATTTTGCTAAATTTGAAATCTAAAAGGTAAAATCTTTCTTTCCAATTCTAAGGAGAATCTGATTGGGGAGTTTTCATATCTATAAACATGTTCTGATTGGTAAAAAAAAAGATTGTATTTCTTAAAGTCACCATGTCTTGACACTAGTTAGATCGTAAAACAAAACTAGCAAAACTTCAACACTGATGAATATACACATGAACTTTTATCCAAATTTCGAAATTATGATAGGTAGGTATTGACAAAAATGTCTTTTTCTTTGAATCTGTCATGTTATCAATCCGTTCCAAGCCTGAACCTTCCATAAAAGTATTAAAAACAACGTGATAAAGCATTTGACATTCAAGATAAACGTCAATAGGTTACATATGAGACCTTTCATTTATAGCTTTGCCCTTTAATCGAAATTTTCTTTTATCGATTGTGAAACTGAAGACGAGATTCTAATCTTTTTCAATTTCAAATATTAGAATTTATGACTGAATTCACCATTTGAAATCTCATCTTGTCTCGTAAGCTTAATAAGTCAAATTCAAGATAACAATTTATTGAAACTTTCATTTCATGTATAGCTATGATACAAGAATGATGCAGAATGATGCAGAATGATGCAGAAAGTACAATATATTAATTATTGAACGTGAAGAGTTCAAAAGATAGAACATTATGTGTATTATCAACATGGATGCCATTTCAAAAAATGTGTTCAAAATACGACTTGTTTCCCAGCACTATAGTCAGATTCCTATGGGCGAAGCCGAGACAAACAGTCTGAGGCCGAGTCCCTAGAATAAAACTGCGTCAGGAGATACTATATATAAATCACCGTTATCCAAGGACGTTATTTTTCCGATACATCTTCACTAGAATTTTCAAATTTCATGAGTAAAGTTTACTTGCTTATGTCTATCTTAGTGATTACCGAAATCACATCTAATACTTAAAAAAAAATAATTTATATACCATACAGTTTCAACGATATCGCCATGCAGGTAGTATGTGGGGTACACATCACCAAAAATATAAAATGCAAAATGGAGACCGACATAACGATGATCAAGGAAAATGATTTGAAGCCCGATATAATTTAGAAGAGAAACGGTAAGCCTGTACTCATTCAGGCATTGATAGTCTTATAAACAAAAACATTGGGTTATAATGATGAAAGCATCGATCATAATGGTATTTGCCCTACATGTACCTAAACTATTTTGGTGTTCTTAACCGAAAATATACAATGCACTGATCAAGCACTGTCTCGCCCCATGATTTACTTAAGCCAGTATAATGTGTGGCAAACATATTGTTGTTTAGCTGCCTTATACTTATAGAGACACAATTGGTTACAATGCAATGCACAGAACCAGGTTTTAACACACGGTGTGAGCTCCTGGTACATCATTGCCCATATATATACATGTTTCTTTCAGATTATCTCAATCGATCTCTGCGGCCAGTTTTCAAATCGTTTTTGTTTTTTTGTTTTTGTTTTTTATATTTAAAAAAAAAAAAAAAAAAAAACCCTGGTAAACCATACGTATTGAACTTGATGGAAATAACGCACTGATACCATAAACTGTCTGGTACACAAACTAGGTGCTGTAAAGGAAAACAAATAACTTTTCCTTAGGGCTTTTGTGATATCGAAAGATGAAGGTATGTTTTTCTTAACGATTACTTTTTCATTGACATACATAACTTTTTTTTCAGTTTTATATCTCAAGTCATTGGTATATTAAAAATAGCAGTACTTGCAATAAATTGAAAACAATTCAAATTTAGCGCGTTGTTCACAAATGTTTTATAAATAGATTTTAAAAAATGAAGTAAGCATTGATCGATTTTTTAAAATTTTTTCCAACATAAATATATAAAAAGATCATTACATCTTTAGAAGACTTATAAGATATCAATCCAACAAATCTTTAAAGGTAATCCATGCCAGTAATTATCAAACTATGTGTAAAAGAATGGGTTTAACATTTAGAACGCATTGTTTAAATCCTATTTCAGTGCGCAACCAATAAAGCTATTCAGACACGTTACTCGAGTTACCTTAGCTTATAACCTTCTGGACGGAGAATCAAATGACAATTTCTTGCTTTACCTTCTGGTCAACCCAAAGAGAACTCTTAATCAAAATTAACTATGAATTAGAAGATTTTGCCTTTATCTATTTGTTTATTTGTGTAATTCTACCTGATCGAATGGCACCCGCTACCTCACGAATGAATACGCACATCATTCATTGTCTGTAAAATACAAGAGCAGCACCAGATATGATAATTGACATTATCGACATTGTGTGTGTTGAAACAGATTAGAAATCGGTCCCTCCCGATGGTTGCGATATGTTACAATTTAAAACAATCAAAACAAAGTTTGTTCGTTGTAATTTTCAATTGAATATATACAGTAACAATATGTGTAATACGCATCTCACATTAACATATCAATAAGCATTATTTAATACTTTCATACATCTTTCTTTAAAAAAAATCATGATTTTTGTTCACAGACTGATTTTTGCAGCGTCAACACATCATTTACAAACATTTTGGTAATGAATTAATTATCAAATAATTCTATGCTTCTTATCAAAATACAAATAGTCAAGGAATAATGAAAAAAATGTATAATGCCATTATTTTGAACTTTTTTCCAAGCATACAATTAGATTATCTTTCCAAACGAAACATTTTTAAGACTGAGACGATATGCTGCCATTTTCGCATCATGTGTTGGCGTCAAGAACCGATTCGTTTTCTTTTAGGTCATGACCTCAAAGAAAAAATAAGATACTATCTTACACATTATCATGTTGATTAATCTCTCATCAAATGCCTTCAAAATATAGGATAATAAAACAAATCATTCGTTTTTACGAACATTTCTGTTGATAAAAACAAAGGAATATTCGTTACCAATTGAATTATCACAGCACAGTGCATATATGTATATATGATGAATTTTACATCACACTCCACTTTGAATCACGCTACAGTCTTGCCTAACGTTATGGACTACCCCGAAGAACTGCTTTTGTCTCCTATCAAATTAATAATACCATTGAATGGCATTGCTAGATAACGTTTCAAGAACGGTCTGAATTTTCTATTCAGCACAAAATAAATAGTAGGATTGATGATTGTTGACAGCTTTGCGATGAGAATAGAAGAAAGAGTTAATCTGATGGGAACCTCTTCTTTGTTACCGTAAGCCGTCCAAAGACTGAACACCGCATATGGAGTCCACGTCATCACAAATGCAACACACATTGTAAACGTAAGCTGAAATAGAAAAAAATTGATAAAAGTAATGTGTGCATTTTAATTGAATATCAGGAAATATCAGCTTTTGTTTTTATTTGATAGGTAGTGTCTCGGAACCATGTTGAGATGATTGCAGTTCGATATTACTCCTCAACGAGAATATAAACTCTTATCTTACTTAATGATACCATGTCCATTTTCATAAAATCTCTCTTTCAAATGTAATTGCACGAAAAAACGACACAAGAGAATTCACAACAGACAAAACATATTATATCAAAGACACTGAATTAAAACAAAACAATTAGCACATGTATATCGATAAACACTCATGTACATACCTTTATCAAGCTTCCTTCTAGCTTTCTATTTGCACTTTTTCTATTAGGCCGATGAGCGGTCCATTTTTGAAGATTATCTGAACTTCTTTTTAAAAATAATAGCACACGTCCATAGCAAATAGTCATTATAACGACAGGCATAATGATGCACATGACTAGCATAACCGTCACGAATGAGCGACTTCCGGACCAGTTCAATGTGCAGGAAGTCCCATGGGGCTCAACTCCATATTCTCCCCATCCCAAAAACGGAGGGAGAGACCAAATACACGCATATATGTAAGTAAAAAACACCAGAACAGACGTGTGGTTTGTCAAATGCACGCCTGAAATCAAATAGGAAAAAGATTTCAACATTCGTGTAAAATAAGTAAAATATATGACCCAACCAAAACCAATTCCGTATATTTTCTGAAAAAAATTTACTGATAAAATGCCGAGTGCTGCTTTTTCTTAATAAACTCTTGTTTTATAGGTTGAAGTATTGAAGATGATGCGGGTAATATAGACACATATTAGACGATCGATTTGCAACTTATAGCCAAATCACATTTTGATGCTCATCTGTTATATCAAAGACCTGGAACGCTTGATTCATTTCTGTGAATAAGCAAGAAAATACTAAAGGAGTTTTCATATAACTGTTCTGTGTGTTACAAATTGTTCAGACGATGAAACGTATTTTCACCTACTAATTGGATAAGGTTTTGATTGGTAATCAAACATTAGATACAGAGATTAATGCATCATTTGGATTAAAATGATTTATCAGAATACATCAGAAACATGACTTGGAAAATTGAAAGAAAGCATATTCTATAGCATGCCAATATGAACTATTAATGCATAGGTATACAATATCTTATATTACTACAATTCAAACTCATTATCACGAAATTCAATGGACCGTGAAAATTATTTCGGCTCAAACAGAGTGTATTTACGGTTGAACAAAGCAGTGCTCCGATAGGGTATACATGCTACAATCGGTATAATTTTATGTACTATTTGGAATGGCAGTAAGTGAAAAGAAAAATATTTCTATTTTCCACTTTCATTGTCAACTATCTTTGTACTCACTTCTTTCCTTGTACACTCCCCTTACTGACAAAGTACATACGTGAAAATGTAGATCAGAATTATGTTTTACGGAATGACAATAACACGACACTAATATTTGCTTTTGATACGCTACAAGAAACGATGTATGAAGCTACAGATCGTATTAACATGGCTTTACGATAAGTAAAAATATATATATAAAAGGCGGCACTGGAAAGTTTTTAACTCTTATAGAAAACACTATAAAAGCACTACTGAGACTCGGCCAGTGTCCATGAGCTACCAGTGTCCGTAAATTTCTCAAGATTTTTCATGTGCAATTTCCCGTTTATCCTGGTATCAAAATGGTAAGACGTCGTTAAAAAATGGGTAGATTTAACAAGTCATGCAGACTTATAGACTCTATCAATGAAAAACATATTTCCAGCACTGCATTGTCCATGTACTGAATCTAGCAAAGTACCTGTTTACAGTCCTATAGAACACAAGCACAACAATTTGTTTCTCTCGGAACTGTGGGGATAAAATTTCGTCAAAAATTTTGTACTGGTTTGACGGTTTCGTTTTTATCATTCCTAAAGATGCACACAACCAAGCCCGCTTGTGTAAACGTGCTAACTGTTTAACGTATAGGTAAGTCACTAATCTTGGATGGTGACACTAATTAAGAAGGTAACGTTTAATTGGATAATGAAACTGGTACTAAATTATCAGAGACCAAATTTGTGTGTATATAGACCTATATGCCGTAATTAGCCGTGTGTTACGCAGAGGTGACATTCTACTCTGTGTCGGTATTGGTCGATTTCTCCGGAAGAGGTGCCGATGTTTTGACGGAAAATAATTTCGAGACAACGAATACGTTTTCCCTTGCTTTACAATTAAAAGGACTAAAAAATCACTTCGACTCAAACGAAATTTCGATTCAATGAAATTCGATTCATTCAAACTTTACTAACAAAGATCTAGAAGGGAAAAATCGGGACTTGGAAATTATAACCACTCAAATGGAATTTCGACATCAGCGATTTCGAGACAACGAGTTTCAACTGTATATCGTATATAGATGTATTATAGTATAATTGTCTAATATTTCGTCGCCATTAATGTGCAATTATTATATCATAAAGTAAGTTGTCCAGTAATAGAGGAAATCACGATAACTTCATCATCATTTCATAGAGAGAAATTTATCTCATTCAGAATGATTAGTATTCTAAATATTGTTATTTTTTCGAGGATGATATTTTCGCTATTTTGCTGTAATGATGATAAATAATGTTATCGCAAAAGTATAATCAGTAGAGTAATATATACGTGTTTATTATACCTTACATATACAACGTGAAATTATATTAGTATATTAATTTTTTAATCGTTTTAAAAGGACATAGCGAAAATGTTGACCAATCAAAATGGCCAGTTATACAGTAATATTGTATTTGTCTTTAAAAGTTCGACATGATAAACCGTAGCTGTACTCACTTTTCTGCATTTCACAAACACTCATGTAGCGAACGAAACTCATCATTGCTAAAGTTGATATGCTGACAGTTCCACAAAAGAACCCAAGGAACCCGTAAACGTAACAGCCTGCAAAACGGAAGTAAAAAATGTAAAATTAGACGACAGGGGACTTTGTGTTTTATATATGTGAAATAGCAGACAATCTTTACAGCACCATTGAAACAGTTACAACTAAAAGTGGAATATGGGTATTATCATTTTAACATGTACAAGCTTAACAAAAAGTGTAAGGTGTTATAATGTGTAAAAAAAAATCTTTAAATGGACTTCATCTTTCTTCTCAACATATGGCAAAGATATAGATCGTATCTTAATGTCATTAACCTCCCCGGAAAATAAAACCAGATAGTTTTCTTTACATTCAAAACAATAAAATGCACACTATCCGCAGATTACCCAACAAAGTTTTGGGTTGTTTTAAGTAGTATTAAACATTAAATGGCCATATATGACCACACAGATATCATTTCGTGGAAATATTTTTTTGCCACATTGAATGTAGCTTTCAAAATGTTAGTTTAACCATTTACCATGTCATATACAGGGTGATCCATAACGTCTGCGACCATTTCAGATACCAATAGCAATTATAAACTGTTCAACCGTGTTTAATGAAAATTATCCGTTTAACATAGATACAAAACGTTTTGACAGAAATACAATACATAGTGTTATCTCCACTCTTATATAATTCATAACTGATTGGAAATGTTCTCTAAAATCACACAATATCTTCATGTGATGTCCTCTCTGCGAATTGACAACGTTGAACCTTTTCTTTAAATGTTTGATTGCGTCCTTGCAGATTTCAATCGTAATTCTGTGCACTTGATATCTTGCAAGCCTTTAGCCCTGGGACTGTACACTCTGTCCTTCAAATTACCTCAAAGAAAAAGAGTCCAGTTGGTTCAGATCCGGTAGGTGAGCAGGCCATATATTATTTGTCCGGTATGTTTTCTGAAGCCAAGTTAACACTACTCCTGATGTGTATGGCGTTGCTCCATCTTGTTGAAACCAAACACATTCAACATAAATACCTCGCTTTCTTATTTCGGGAAGTTTTTTAACATGTTTAAATACCGTCCATTGTTTACCAATGACGTTTCACCTTGGTCCAATTACACCGACCGAACAGAGCACACACATGGCTTTCACTTTGTCATCATACGGAAGCTTCTCTTTCTAATAGTCAGGGTTTTTCTTTCCCCATACACGGCAATTCTACTTGTCAAGTTGTAAATTTAAATGAAAGTGAGGTTCATCTGCAAACCATAAGTTATCGGTGACATCCATGTTGTCAGTCATCCAATGAGCAAACTGTAGTCCCATTGTAACATCTATATACATCATCGACAGCTTTAAGTCAAACCATAACATAGCAGATCCCATATTTTCAATGTCATCTAGCGCTTTTCCAACTGACCTCACTGGATTTTCATATAAGATTTTCTGAACAGCTTCAATGTTCTCGGAGCACCTGCCAGTCTGTGGACGTCCTTGGCTTTTGTGTCTTTTGTCTTCCACAGATACCGTCTTTCTTTACCAATATATATATTCGTTGTTTTCATAGTTTCGCATCCGATTGGTTCTTCTTCTGCATAGTACGGACCACTGCTGCTTGCGAATAATTTTCGAAATAAAGTTGACTATCTTTCCAGCCCTCTGGGTTTGTAATGCCATTTTGAAAAAAAAACAATACAATCAGATGACATCATAACTTACGTCATATATGACGACATAACGTTATGACGATGTTTATATTTTCCGTATTTGTCATCTTACACAAAACAATTGAGATATCAGGTTACAATAATACCTTACGGAATTATATATCTTAAGGTATCAAAAAACATTAATTGGTCACAGTGCTATGGATTACCCTGTACTACAATCTTTTTATTGCCTAGCAACACAGTATAGATACATGAGTTTCAATAAATATAAAATTCGTAAATGCAAATTTAACAATTAGTAATGGCAGTTTATTACAACAACCATGCTGGTACATCTTTTCTCTTTTTGTGTGCGTGTATGCATTCTGTTGGTGATCGATTGTTAAAACTTTTTTCATACCATATATACCGAACTGCCACTCGTGTCGTAAAGATGACGTCACTACCAGAGGAAAACCAAAGAGAGGCAGAAACAGATCGCAGATTGCAAGGTTCACAATGAAGTAGTCGATAGCTTTCAAAGTGTTACGTTTCTTGAAGCAAACAAATAACACCATCAAATTCAGGAAGATTGAAGTTGCACCTGAAATGAAAATGAAAAAATACATGCATACGACATACTATAAATTGAATACAGTAATGCCATATTTTGGGCAATAATTTTCAAAATGAAACTTTTGCATTCTACAAAATGTAACTTTTGTGTTTTTGGATACCGGTAGTGTTTGCTAAGTAACGAAATACGCGTGATTGTCTTAAGCTGTATGACACATTTTCATTCAAACGAATATTGGGACGGCTTAGAATACAGACGTTCTTTTGAAATAGATCAATAAGGAAAATAATTAATTTTATCTAATGGTGGTATGTACACCGTTTTACTTCAATTGTCACATTCATTAGGATCAATTTTGTTTTTTGTTTTTTTTTTTTTTTTCTATTTGGCATGATAGGTGTCAAGGACTTTTTATCATACCATCATTGACGTGTCCTAGAAAAAAGTTGTTAGAAGATGCTAGATTTATTGGCTATACTGTGTCGGAATGTATAACATTGATCTGTAATATTTATTTATGTGTCTTCTGTACAATCCTTATAATCGATTCTGAAACGAAATATATTTTATGGCCCATAGCGAACAACTATGTTATTTGTCACATCTCGCGCGTGCGACTATCCGAGGGCTCTCGGGAAGTCAAGGCCATATGAAAATCAAACTGCTTCAAAAATGATCAGATTCTACAGGATGGGTCTGAAAACGTGTTATCTATAATCGTTGTGATTCCGAGCGCATCTTCAGAATTCCTTTTAGGTTATTGGGTCCGAATATATCTCCTGCATCGCAAAGCGGTTGAACTGTTCCCGACATACTTCCAAATAATATTTTTTCTTTTACGTAATATCGTTTTTGGTTCTCGGTGTAAATCACATCACATAAATTTACAGAATTTGTTGTTCTGCAGAAAGGGCGTGAGAAAAAACTACTTTTTCATTGTGTGATCGTAAGAGGTCTAAATTAGGGATATTTTCATTTTTTCTGCTTTCTGGACTACCAGGTATTGATGGTGTCTTTCTTAACACTTCCTAACTTTTGGTCTATAGTGGAGGATTCGCCTACAAGACAGCTTTTGGTTCTGTCCTCTAGATATACCAGTCTCTAAAACAATAGTGGTTTACACCCCTTGCTCGATACTTCGGTAGTGTAACTATTGGTTGCATGTTGTCAGTATCATTGGACCGTGCGTTGCGTCCTGCTGGGTGTGTTCGGAAGCAATAGTGCTGCTCTATTCCAAAAAAGGCATTCATGGACGTATTTATGTCTTCTACTAACACATGCACTAACTTCGCTCACATATGAATTCCCTCCTTACACGGATACGTTTTGATTGGACGTTACACAACATGATCTATTGCTTAGATTCCATCAATGTTATCCCTAAATCAAGTTCCATTTCCCTGAATTATGTCCGTGTTTGTATACCAAAGGTTATTCCTTTGGTTTTCATTTTATCTGCCTTATTCGTTACGTATACTTTGAATTCATAGGATGAACTTTGTTTTGACACTCTCCTTCGGGTAAGACTTAATAGCCTTGCGTTTTTCAATTGTATACTGGCTGAACAAACGCTAAACCCCGTTTACCTTAATGTTATGTGACAAATATGAGTATCAAGGTGCACCCAATGATACTATCAACATTATAAAAGGTATTGATTTAATTATAGTCGAATCAAGATCAATATGAACATCCAATAAAACAAATACATTGCAGGTTTTTTCCTCTTGTGTATAGTAAAGAAGAAAGAAATGAAGAACAAGAGCGGATCCATTGTCGTATTGTTGATAAGGTAAGGTTTAATCAGCCTTTAATGGTTACAGGGTATAACACCTCATTAGCAATAAATACATTAAAACATGACCATCATTACAATGCAAAAAGATATGATTGAAGGAAAACCGCTGATAAACAACTATAATTATATTTTGTTGTTGCTTACGCAAAATTCAGCCTTCTGATTCGTCGAGCTTTTTCTTTTCATTTCTCGATAAGAAATCTAGCTCCACCCACTTGATAATGATTGATAGACTCAATAGCAAGTGGCCACCTTGCAATGGGTATGTCATAATTCCATTTTGTATGCATGACATATCTTTCTACGCATGCACGTGGTGTGTTGAATGCTGTCAATCGATGGTGTTGAAAAAGAAACGGACTATAACATCATAAAATATTAAAATATGTACATACAAAATAAACGACGAATGAATAACGGATTCGACAGGGGAAAATATGTTATTCTATATTATCTGCTTTAACTTCGTGCTGAAATCAAAACATCACCAATAGACTTTAAAGACGTCATCGGTTTGTAAATCTTATGTCCAACTGACAGTTATGAAATGCATTTGACTTTGAAGCCGAAAATGATTTTCTGTACGGCGAGTAAGATGAGAATCTAGCAAACATCGGCGAAACCTTATCCGTTGTATCAACAGCAAGTTAGGTATATACTTCCAGAGCCCCTCCGTCCACTATCTTACACTACTTTTCCGTTTGCAATGTGGCCAGACCATTCATGACTGGATTTTGAATTATTGCAAGTGACGCGAATTAGCTGTCAATGACGTCATGTTATAAACCTAATTGAAATCATGAATGCTCAGTGGTGTGTCATTTCGCTACTTGCATGCATTCGATCTGTAAAATCTTTTCTTTTTTCTCTCTCTACCAGCATGAAACTAGAAATATTTCAATCAAAGCTTAAATGTAAGGATATCATGTGACGATCTTCCCAAATACATAATTTTCAACATGATTTTTATCGGCACACACCCGCAGCTTTTGCCACTGTAGCAGTGCGCACCCGCAGACTCAGTCACTATACTGGTACAAAGCCACTGACTCTGTCACTTTATTGGTACCAACACACAGACTCTGTCCCTTTACCGGTTCAAATTCACTGGCTATGTCTCTATACCGATACAAACCCAATGGTTCTGTCTCTATACCGGTACAAAGCCACTGGTTCTGTCCCTCTCCTGGTACATACCCACTGGTTCTGTCCCTCTCCCGGTGCAAACCCACTGACTCTGTGTCTATACCTGTACAAACCCACTGGCTCTGTGTCTATGCCAGTACAAAGCCACTGGCTCTGTGTCTATACCGGATCAAAGCCACTGGTTCTGTGTCTTTACCGGTACAAAACCACTGGTTCTGTGTCTATACCGGTACAAAGCCACTGGTTCTGTGTCTATACCGGTACAAAGTCACTGGCTCTGTGTTCGGTACAAGGCCACTTGCTCTGTCTCTATACCGGAACAAAGCCACTGGTGTTGTGTCTATACCGGTACAAAGCCACTGGTTCTGTGTCTATACCGGTACAAAGCCACTGGTTCTGTGTCTATACCGGTACAAAGTCACTGGCTCTGTGTCCGGTACAAGGCCACTTGCTCTGTCTCTATACCGGAACAAAGCCACTGGTGTTGTGTCTATACCGGTACAAAGCCACTGGTTCTGTGTCTATACCGGTACAAAGCCACTGGTTCTGTGTCTATACCGGTACAAAGTCACTGGCTCTGTGTCCGGTACAAGGCCACTTGCTCTGTCTCTATACCGGAACAAAGCCACTGGTGTTGTGTCTATACCGGTACAAAGTCACTGGTTCAGTGTCTATACCGGTACAAACCCACTGGTTCTGTGTCTATACCTATACCAGTACAAAGCCACTGGTTCTGTGTCCGGTACAAGGCCACTTGCTCTGTCTCTATACCGGAACAAAGCCACTGGTGTTGTGTCTATACCGGTACAAAGCCACTGGTTCTGTGTCTATACCGGTACAAACCCACTGGTTCTGTCGTCTATACCGGTACAAAGCCACTGACTCTGTGTCTATACCAGTACAAAGCCACTGGTTCTGTGTCTATACCAGTTTAAAGTCACTGGCTCTGTGTCCGGTACAAAGCCACTGGCTCTGTTGCGAGAGATGGATCTTAGTCATCAATATGTTTTCATTTGAAAGCATTTTATTTCTCTTTTGCAATAGGAAATTGTGTTCGATATTCAATTATATGGATATCAATTTTATTGTGTTTCAATAGATTTTAGATACATAATCTGAACAAGATATCCGTTGCTGTTTTCGTTAGTGGAAAACACAAACCTTTGTGGAATACTCGGTATTATTGTAATGATTGTACAATTAAAGTTTCAGAAGTTGTATATTTTTGGGTAAAATATTTTCGTTCAATCTATTCCGATCAAGGATTATGATTTTTTTAAAGACAGTATTCTCTTCGATTAATATTCTTATTTGTTGTGATATAAACACATTCATTCTATAGAAAATAAAAGACAAATTACCAAGCGCCAAACCATCGATCCTCATCCCACATGCTGGGCTACCATTGACCTTAATTTGGTTTTCATTAATATGATTGCAATGCCCTGTAACACGTACGGAGATTCCATATCACAACTGCACGTGATAACCTCAGCGTTGTAGAATTTAGTTGTTTGTCGTTTCCATGCCAGCGCGTGCTTTTTAGTCGTAAGACCTATCTAATTGCTGCGTTTGTTGCCTACAAACAGTCTGGTTATTTTACTTGCATTATATGTTATGTAATATGATATTGCTGCAGAAATTTGTCGAGTCGCAGCCAGATTTGTTCGAAAAACGAACGTGACATTTTACAAAGTTTGGTTTGGTTTATTCTTGTTATTGCTTTAGATAAATGTACGTTTTATTAACAGCCAAGGTTATTGAAGGACTGGCAGGTTTGGATGGTGGATGAAAGCCGGCGTTTCCGGGGAAAAACCACCAACCTGCGGTTAGCGCTTGGCGAATCCCTCATGTAGGTCACGAACCCGCAACTCTTACGAGTAGGGTTAGGGATAAAGACGATCACACGCCAAAGGACGTCGGTACAGTTTTTCCATATCTGTTACATTTTCATTTTTTTATTTCTAAAAGTCTATTAGTGTTAATGTAATTGCAGTGAAGCCCATATCTGTTTTTATGTTCTAGTGTATTGAAAACTAATGAAAATTGCATTTCAGCAAAAGTCACGTACAAGACAAATCCAGACAATATACTTTCATTTGAGATAAATAAACGTCTCCCATTTTTTTCCCAAGAGGAGATGCAAATGGAATTCTCGTGACCTTGGATGATTTTCCCTCTGACTTTTGCAGTAAATAGTCCAGTAGTTGAACAATCTGGTAAATTGGATTGACGCATTGACATTACATCTGGTTGATAATTTAGGAAAATCCCCGTGAAACACTAATCCGACCTGTAAAACACTGGTGATGATCCAATTCTATCCTACAAGGTATCTTTGTTTAGAGAGACAAAAAGAGGAATACAACTGAAGCTGCCGAATTCATCACTCAAATAATGTAAACCCGATCACTTGGTACTGATTTCATACAACGTCTTACAATCTTAACATAACCTCATTTTAATTGTCTGTCTACACATGCTGACTTGACATGATTCTTTTGGAAACTGGCTGAAAAGGTAATGGGTCACCTACTTGGTAACGAATATTTTTTTTTCTTTTAGTAGTCCAGTTCTCAGGAGCTCTTCCATCCGCGCTAAAAGCCAGACTTATATAGAATGTAAAAATCTTTATCATTAAGACATTGAAAGGTTGGATAACTTACCCTATACAGTGTCAACCTTTGTGTGAACATCACAAACATTCTCGGTCAAAAAATATAACGTTTTCGATGTTTCTCCCGCTCGGGCGTATCATAACAAATTCTTTCTTGGTCATCCCAAGGGCATTGCATTATCACAGTAAAAATGATCAAATCGGAATATACTAGTAACATAGTATGACAGAGTCGTTGCGATAAATGACCTTAATTTGAAAGCATAGACATTTGCAAGTCAAGAACTAATCTTGAATATATGTAATAAGAATCATACGTCATAACTGGCTAAATGAATAAACCCGATTTAAAAGCTGTGAAAATAGAATGGTCATTTCAGTTTATTTATTTTCTCAAATTCAATCATTACGCAGTGTTCTGTCAAGAGAATATTTTTGCTATAATACTTCAGAATTCAATTTATCATTTTGCGAGAAAATACTTCTCAAAGTGATATGTTGAAATAAAACTATGACATTTAGAATTATCTTAATCGAATGTGATACTGCTTTTCCGGAAGTAAAATATTTCTGACAAACTGAATAATGAGGTATTTTGTCGAATATTAAGTATTGCATTGACAGCATCATTCAGATAATTCATCGATCCTATCTTCCGCGCTTTTACAATACAACACTATCTTTACGTAGAATAATTGATAGTTAAATAGCCCAAAGAAGTCGTTAGTTTACACAATAGGAAGTCATGTTTTAAGTACAGACGAAAGTCGGGGATATCCCACACCTATTCACAGAAAACCGACGATTGATGATTGACGGATAGTGACATTGACAGATAGTGACATTGACAGTGCCAATGGCTGCTATCACATGATCTGTTATTTCTGATACACAGAGCTCCACAGTCCACAAGTAAAAGTGTATATGCAATATTTGAGAAGAGTTTTATGTTGAACAGAATTTAACTTTTTTAAGCTAAATCAAACTCAAATGACTACTTTTCTTTACATGAAAGAAACCGTATGCACCTCAATATTTTGAGGTGGAGAGCATTCCAGTCAAATCCTATACGATAATAATATATTTGATAATTGCAAGCTCATTAATATAAATCAAATATAATTCCTAGCATTCATTCATGGTATGAGTTCTAAAGAATCAAATGATTATGGGTCTCCTCTACCGCACCAAATGCTAAAATGAATTAAAACATGGAATGCAGGTCAAAACGTGAACAAAGTCAACCACCATTTACCATAAACGGTTACAGATCGATGACTATGATCTTTCATGCAGGTTACTCCAACAATAACTTTTCTCATATTTGATTTTCAATCAGTAGAATATCTTGTGTAAATTTCGAGTGCGAATTGGTATATTGGTTATGCAACATATTGTTGAATCGAGAACGCAACATATATCGTTGTATTGAGAACGCAATATATCGTTGTATTGAGAACGCAATATATCGTTGTATTGAGAACGCATTATATCGTTGTATTGAGAACACAATATATTGTTGAATTGAGAACGTATTCTATCGTTGTATTGAGAACGCAATATATTGTTGAATTGAGAACGCATTATATTGTTGTATTGAGAACGCAATATATCGTTGTATTGAGAACGCAATATATTGTTGAATTGAGAACGCATTCTATCGTTGTATTGAGAACGCAATATATCGTTGTATTGAGAACGCAATATATTGTTGAATTGAGAACGCATTATATCGTTGTATTGAGAACGCAATATATTGTTGAATTGAGAACGCATTATATCGTTGTATTGAGAACACAATATATCGTTGTATTGAGAACGCAATATATCGTTGTATTGAGAACGCAATACATTGTTGAATTGAGAACGCATTCTATCGTTGTATTGAGACAGCATTATATCGTTGTATTGAGAACGCAATATATCGATGTATTGAGAACGCAATATATCGTTGTATTGAGAACGCATTATATCGTTGTTTTGAGACAGCATTCTATCGTTGTATTGAGAACAGTTAGTAGTGTTACGATACTCTCATTTCAGCAGTTTTAGATAATTAACTTTAAGACAACCAGGGAAGTTATAAAGAAAGTATTAATAAGCAGTCCCTTGTAACAGACTGTCGTGAGGTAATCGGAGATTTACCCATTCATCAATATGAAAAATCAATTGATACATAATAAGAATGGTTCTTAGTGTTTTCCCTATAGATAATATCTTTTAGTAAGCTATAGATCTATCCTTTTAGACGGCATTGAAACTTTAATGGACAATGTACAAAAGAATAGAAGAACAAAACACTTTATTATGTTTAGTAAATTTAGTATGGTGCACATTTATAACAAAATAATGATTTAACCGTTCATATGTCTGTTTTGTTCTTCTAAGACACGATGAGTAGAGCGTTAATGTTAAAAATCGAGTGCTATAATCAGATGTAACGTTTAACTTCTTTATTTATACAGATATTAATAAGCTTTTAAATGTATTTTCATATGTATTTCAAATATTGAATGTAGTCAAAAGGCTGGAATCATTTATTCTGTTAAACAAATACTTGATGCCACAGTCTCTTTGTTTGCCTTCGTGTATTATCACAACACCACATTACGGCAGAAAATCACAGACTAATTCTTCGCATTTGTATTATCAAATAAGATCCAATAAAAACAATTAGAAAAATCCAGGCAAAATGCAGTCGATGAATCGGCCCAGAAGGAAAATACGGAAAAGAATTTCACAAAATAAATAGGTAATAAAAGACAATCTGAAAATGTCAAACGTAGTGAAAGTTATGAAACCCTGTTTATAAACTATTGGGGAAGAAGTATGATGGTACGATTTGGACATGTACAGTAAAAATAATCAATTGATAGTCACGGGGGAAGCAAATCAAGCAAATTAAAGCACCCCCTTTCATTAATATTTGCTGTTAATAGGTTTGCTGTTGACATTTATCAATACTCTCTTTGACAAAGAGTAAAATTCTGAAACAGCACATTTATCAAACATTTACGGATGTATAACACGCACAAAATGTATCTGTAGTTTTAGCAGCAAGACATATTTTGAAATTCTTTGAGCCCTGTTAAATTGACTTAAATTTTTTTCTATCATTCAAATTTTAAATAATAAGATATTTCACACATGTAAATGTTATTTTGAATCAAAGGATTGAGGACGCGCAAATTTGATTAATTAGCTGTCAGAGATTCAAACAGACTTAGGTCTAGTTAGTACATTTTAAGGTGTACTTTTGAACACGTTTAATGCTAATAGATATTGATATTTTAAAAAGCAATAAATACCTACCAACAACTCCCAGGTAGAGAGCAACAAGGGTATCCTCCACAGGAGATAATTTCGAATAAAAAATATTCAATTTCACAATATCTTTCTTGTGCATATGTGGCACCACATCATAGGATGTGTTATAGCCGAGTTTGGAATCATTCACATAATATTCCTCGTAAAGTGGTATCTCTGTACAAAACCATGGTCTATCCATCGCTCTCAAAGCCATTCACTGTGGAGTGCGCTTTCTGTCCTAAACATGCTGCTCTCTAGTCAGATACCATTGTCGCGTAGAACTGTTGTACCGTACGATCTAATTCCAATACCTCAGCGACCGGCTGAAGAAGTAGGCCCAACTTGTCACACAATGTGGGTGACAGGCTTCAAACTGCTCACTGCAACATGTTTATATTCATATATTAACAAATTTATATGGTCAAAGAAAGTTGCAGGTATTATAAGTTTATCTTTATTATACCTTTCAACTTGGTATTATCTTAACCTAATGTCAACCGATTGACAAACTTGACCGTTTTAACCATAATCCAGTGACGTATAGTGTGCTGTGAAACACTGAGGCACGCCTATTTACGCGACGACTAGCTAGGCGGTCAATCGTGGCTGCTACACGTGCCAGTTTGTCGCGTGGCACAAACGTCAGCTCGTCAGATAAAAGGCAATGTAATGTTCGAAAGTATTTTTTCATCAGAATCACGAACGCCTGTCTGAAAAGTTCAATATTTGGTGAAAGTAAGGAAAGGCAGTACTTCGATGTAAATGTAGTGTGTTACAGCGGATTTTCGACATATGTGTATCTGTGCCAACATTTTAAAGATTTCACTAACATATTGATGATCAAGATCGAGACAAGATTTGAAAATTACAATGGCAATCACGTGGCAATATCAAAATGAGTATTATATCAATCTCAACCAAATTAAAGGTGGTTTTCATATGTAATTATCGTACAAGTGTTCGAAAGCTGTTTAGAAACACACAGAACGGTTGTGAAAAAGACATACTATTAGCGAGTTAAAGATATTACACACTTTGTCGGCTGACAATTTTCTATTTGTGGCATGTACAAGGTCTAACACTGGCGTAAGGAGACATCATTACCTGACTGTTAAATTATTACTTTCATACAAATGTCAGATCTGATGTATTACTGTTTTTACATAATATTATCAACAATATACGCATGGAACATCAAAACAATTTGATATTTGTTTTCATATTAATTAGGAAACATAACGAAATCTGTTAAATATCAAGCAATTTTTAAATTCTAGGAATGCCTAATTAAGTCACTAGTAAAGTGGATTTTCTCATCACTTGCATACTTATCCATTAAAGTAGACGTTTTGAAATTGAACTAAATAGAATGTCAATCACACGTTATTCTAGATTCTACAAAAGACACAAGTGAATAACACCTTATACTAATTTAGAGTTAGACAAAGTAGAGCCAAACAATGAATTGAACTTCATTATACAGCTGTTTCGTCCTTCTAGGACTCGTCAGTGATGCCAAGGGCCTAAATTGTGAAGCCTAGAAGGCGACTTAGGAAAATCCAAAGTGATTGAAAGAATAGGTCAAAATCTAAACGGGGAGGTCTGCAGACTCATAATTGAATAAATGTCGCATTGTTCTCTTAAATGTGGATTATGTTGTTAAAATAATAATGAGAAAGTCTTGACCTAGAAAATCGTGTGCTCCATTTAGGCAATCAACCACTTTATATATATATATCTCTGCATATGTCGTGTACAGTGAGTAAATGACAAGGCGTTGTACATACCGATATTCACAATAAAGAATGATTAAATGTTATCAGAATACTACAGTGATACTAATGTGCAAAGCGTTTCTGGTATTACACGCCTGAACACACTATCGCGGCTAGAATATGAAGACCACTTAGATGTATTTAAGGTGATGTTTGGTGCTGATAACACGAATGAAGTCGTGTTAGTGTGTACAAGAGTGAAATGGAGGGTACTAATTGGGATCGTTCTGCGGTCATTCAGTGACCAGTCTTATTTTCGATCGAAAAGATTATTTTTGTTCAGATTTATGTAGCACACTATCAATCTATAAGGTTTGAGTAGAGTAGTTGGTAGTGGTGAGTAGTTACGTTACAAACTTGTATCCTTAAAAGATCCTTTATAACATCTTGTAGTAATGATTGATAACAAGGTGTCAACAGCTATAGCTTAAAAATAATCATCACCATAGCCATTATCTAAATTCTAGACTGTTTACCATACTGTATGTCAAGGTCTCTTCACGGCACTTCATATAGGTCCTACTGTGATTGAAATTGAATCTCGTCATCTACCTCGGATCAATTCTACCTCTGATCACTATCTGATCAAATTCAGCAAAGAGGCCTCCCATAAAATAAAGATTGATCAAAATAGACATTTTCTTTTAATATATTTTAATAATGATTAATGGAATGCCTTACGTCATTTTCATTCGCGAAGATAGATCATTTAAAGGTTATATGACAGACATCATATCAAATTAACTTTTTTTCAAGTTATTTCTTAAGACCCGCGATTATTGTATCAAATATAAAAATTGAAAGACTTAAGATATTTTTGCTGTTGTTACTTGCACGTAAAGAATACTGTCAGCGCACTTGTTTTCTTCCATGTATATTTAATTGTTTGCCCGTTACCAAAGTAGCCATACCAACTGAGTTTGAACAATTAGTGTCAATTGATATCGTGCCAGGTTTGGTGGTAAGGGGAAGCCGGAGAGAAACCACTGGTCCGCGGCCAATACCAGACGACTGCCCTCCGGGATCCAGTGATGGAGGATAGTGATAAAGACGGTCAGACAGTTTAACCATTCGACTGTCGTGGTTCCTTATATATAACATAGTAAATGAAAGTACTGAGAGGCTAAACGTATTGAAAAATGTTCACAAATAACCGCTACGCTATATTACTTTCCCAATACTCCTAAACTTTGGAATGCAAAAATTACTAAAATAAGAGAACCAGAGGCTATTTGTCTTAACTTTAAGCGATTTTATATCTTCTTTAATTCTTATTTCAAATTTGACGATAATAATGTGAATAAATCAAAATAGGTAAAAAAAATTAACAAAATACACACAACCATATATTTATCGCCAACAAGCCAAATGATAAATAGCTCTATGATGAAGTTGACTAAATAAAACCTTTGAAATACCCAAGATGTTGCAATTACTATCCTATCAATATGAGGATTTAGATAAATCGAAAGGACTTTAGACCTACTTCTTTATTTTGAATGTTATAGTTATATGTGTAGTTGAGGAAAGTAGATAAGGTATACACAGCATTTCAGATAGATAAAAGTGTAAGTAATTACATTAAATGTATTTACATGCCTATCTTCCTTGAAGTATCATGGTTAGACTTTCCTTCCAGTAATTATGTCTATAAAGGCATAGTTCTATGAGATTAAACCAGACTTCCAGATATGTACAAAATTTACAATATTTTCACTATAGCTACTACTATTTCTGATCTCCAATGCATTAGAAAATGTCACCATGACACGCTAAATGAATAAACATGTTATGGAAATATTTCGTTTTAGTTGATTGATAATTATAAACATGAATATTTTGGGGTTTTATATACGTGCTTTGTTTAAAGGAATATTTTCATTTCAAGGAACTTTGATAGACATTAACAAACCTTGAGAAATCAGCACAATCAACCTTCATCAAATAAAACTAAAAGACAAAAAATATAAGTTATAACAAAGTCAACATCTTGATCAGTACAGTATTAAAAATATATCATTCATAAATCATGAGCACCAAATGTACCTTGCCTATGAAACGCAAACTTTTTATCTTCAAAAACTTGAAAAAGTGTCATGGCGGTGGGTGTGAAAATCCTGAAAAAAATGTCATATCGGCGGGTGTGCGCGTAGGACGAACAGTCCAATTTTGTGACGTCTAATGAGGTAAAGTGATGTTATATATTAAGACGATCTTGCCACAACGACAAAGATTAAAGGAAAATTGATGTTCTGTTTGTAAGTTTTGTTTGTTTATCAGTGCTCTTAGTTGATAATTCAAACCAAGCCCCCAGACTAGCTTCTTATCATGGCGCCAACTCGCACGTACAGTGTTCTGTACGCTTACGTCATGTCGAGAATTCCGTAAAATATATTGTTCAAAATTTATCAATAGTTCATCCACACTGTACTTCTTTTTTGAAATATATAGTAATCGTAATGATATTAATAAAAATAAACTAATTTTGGATGCTTTTAAAATAGCGATTTGAAAAATCGCGGCATTATTTACGCAGAAAATTGCCGCTAGAGGGCTCTAACTCTTTTCGATATTTCAGCCAATGAGAAAGCCAGGATCGGTAAATTTTGTCTGAAAGGCCGTCGCAATAGGCTATGCGTACCGAGTACGTTTAGCCTAAAAACCATACAACAACGTGTTTAGGATAAGTAATGAAAGCAGGCTACCGTAACGCGTATACAATCATCCTCGATATTCGCTCACTAGCGTTATTTGCACCCTTGGATTGTATCTGGCAAAAGGTAAGACTGCATGTACGGCACTTTGTGGACAAGACGAAAATATCCTTTAATGTACATCAAACGAATTTAGAGGTCGCATAACGGGAAATTGCAATGACTTTGAAGTTGGGTACCGCTCCTTTTTAATCGTAAAAAGGAGCGTATCAGTCTGTGATTGGTCATTTTTTCTACTGGAACCAATCAAATTACTTTGCTTTTTCCTTCACGTTTGCCTTGATACGTTCCAGAGGTGCAGAGAGCGAAAGTAATCGTAACCACTGGAGTATCGAGACTGGTTGCCAGTATACAGTAAATGGATATGCGATGGACAAGATTCGAAAGCAAGAACAGCAGGTGAAATGGAAGACACATAATAACCTTCCGCAGAATGTGGCTATTCAATTGCATGGCATGAAATAAACCAGCACATGTGAACGAGAAGACCAGTAACTCGAATTTTTTACATATTGAACACCTCCACATTACACTAATTCCCCTATTTGAAACATAGATGCATATCATATCTTTCTCTTTTCAAAACGCCTTCTCATGAATAATACTTCTACATTATCGGGAAAAATAGCATTATCTCATAATATTCAATTCTTGTTAAGGAATGTCCACTATACTTATCCATTAAAAACGCTTTGACATCATATACAAAT